GTTGAACAGGCTGTCGATTCCTATCACCTGCTGCTAAACTAAACTATCACGCCTCGGCACCTTTTCTGTGCAAATTTTGGAGACAGCATTCGGGATTTCCCAGGATCACCAACCCATCCACCAAGGAAGGCTAAAGAGATCGCTGCCAACCTAACCGACGCTTGCGATCAATTGCTGGCATCCATGTTCCTTGGTCGGATAAATGGGACCCGGAAAATGGAGTAAGGCGTGTTTGATCTCCATGAAGCCAGTGACAAAGATGGGTTTCAAAGATGATCTTCCTCTGCCATTCTGCATGATTTCAGGGAAGATCTACAATCTTTTTTTGTTTTCCAGTTTAAACATATCATATAGATACTGCATGGTACAGTCATATTAAATGCGTACGTGTCTAGTGGATTGGGTGGTAATTTATTGTACTATGTTGTGCTAACAGCTGCCGGTTTCCAGGATACCCAAATTATGAATCACAATTACCAATTTAACCAAAAATAATGTTGATAAACGGGGATGATATTATACTGTAGTTAGTTTACTTCACGCATTAGTAACCTACTGGGTTGTTTGATGTTGTTTGTTGGGTGGGTTCATCACTTTTCCTGATTAACCCCCTGATGATATAGTCATAGAACCAGCCTGGAATTCGGGGTTGATTCATTCTTGCGAATACTGAACCATAAGGCGCAAAATATCCCATAATTGGATGAAGAGTTACAAGAAATCCATGGAAATCTTTCATTTTGAGTGGCAAAAATTGGTCGCCTCTTCGTAACAATCCGTGAAAGCAACCCAAAACTAAGGACAGTGGCGATCTATTCCGTGGCGCATGGCAAGACGACCTGTGGTGACATGAAGGCGAGCCGCCGGCGGCGGGGTATGTAAATTTCTATGGGAATCTGCGGCCGGGGTAGTTATGGAAAACCCATTTTTTTTTGTTGGGAAACCATCTATAGTTGATGAGATGGATATAGATGGATTTCTACTGTTTTTTTTTGTCAATTTGCTGGGGAGTAAATGAGAAATGAGAAATCCCCAACTTGAACATGAAACCCACATTTTGCCAATACCGAGAAAGAACATCATCTTCAAGAATCCATTGAATTCGGGGTCCATGTTCTAAGCAAGTGTGTGTAAACCCTTCTTACACAGGGCGTGGCACAGAAGTGACAGCCCAACGAAGAGGCTTCTGTGGTGGTACTGATATCAGTGAGGACGCTCACTGACGTACCTGCAAATGTAAAAGTTGATTTCAAATCTTCATGAACGCTGTTGTTACCAACATTGTAACGAACACGTCTCCGCCTAAACTATTTGGATTTCACCTTGGCTTCGTCGTTTGGATTTACCTTCAGCCTCTGCCATGTGTTTTTTTCTCAGATTCCAGTGACGTTTCGGCCTCACATGGCCTCACCATTTTGGATTCAACCTTAGGTTTCACAGCCAGACCAGTGCGTGTTCTTTTTACATCCTGAAATTATCCAGCGATCGAGGTTGATCATGTGCCAACCTCATGTTTGAACATGGTGGATTTTCTATGTTATTCCCACTTTTCAAGGATGATCATGTGCCAACAAACAATGAGGATATGACAGGATGTCACTTGTTAAAATAGGTGTGTATATACCAACCAACATGGGAACATGACGAGCCAAAGTGGACACATCGAGGTGAAACTCCAGTAGCCCAACCTAGCAATTGCAAAACAATTTAGAGATAAACATACTTTATCTGGTTGGTGGTTTGGAACATTTGGATTATTTTCCATATATTGGGAATAATCATCCCAACTGACTTTCATATTTTTCAGGGGGGTTGAAACCACCAACTAGTTAATATCGCAAATGCTGGAGACTCCTCGACCATGGTACGAAGTGCGGGAATGATGCAGTGCCAATCTTTGAACCCATCACTAGCATCCCTCTGTCCAGAAATTATCATCAATTGACCACAGTTTCATTATGGAACATATCGAGAATTGATATCTCATCATCCTGCCTCATCAATTATCCCATGCAATGATATTTGTGGATAGTGGTCGATCCTACTATCGATATATTGGATGGACTATCGATGAAATTTGCAAAAATACACCCTATTGTTGATCTTTGGATATAATATATATATGTATATGTATATGAGAATATGATTTCTCATCAATCATCCTTGGAAACTCTTCATCATATGATCTTTGGATATATGATGGATGGAAGAAATCCTGCACCAGTTGATAGGCTGTTTATCCCATTATTTATAGGGTTTCAACCATTCAAGGTGGTGAAGGATTTCTTCCATCCACTGTATGATGGAAACATCAATCATCCATCTTCAGTGCACCGCAGACATTGCCAGCTATGGAAACCGCAGCGCAAGGCCAGGGTTTCGGCTGAGGAGTGGCTGATGGCTGTTGAGAGTGCTGAAGCGCAGCACTTTGGACCGGTAACCGATGGCGAAATCAACACGGTAACCGATGGGGTAGGGATATATGAGAGATTTATATGGGATTTACATGGGATGTTTTTGTGAATTATACAGGGTTTATATGGGATTTATATGCGATTTATATGGGATTTATCTGAGATTTCGGGTTTAATATGGGGTTTATATGGGATTTATATGATATTTATATTTCTTATGCGGGGTTTATATGGGGCTGATATGGGGTTGTATTGGGATTTATATGGGATTGACAGTAGGATCCCCTGCAGGATCCATTGTGGGCATATCTTCGGGCCACAGTTTACTATAATCTATGACTGTATAGATATAGATACCCTCTGGTAAACGTTGACATAACTATGGAAAATCACCATTTTTAATGGGAAAACTCACGAACTAAATGGGCCATTTTCAATAGCTTTTTGTATGTTTACCAGAGGGTATACATCATTTGATTCTTGATGATTCAATTTTGTCACGAAACCAAATTACCGAAACGGGGTAGTCCCTATCAAAAGTCGTGGCGGTCACAAATTGCAGCAGTGAAGGTTATCACGTACCTTAGATCCGATGCCAATGGTATTTATATGTGGTTTTGTCTGAAAATCCCATGTTTTATCCCCATCTTCCAATTTTTTAAGCGTCAGAAATGGGCGAAGTTTCTAAATTTTGGTCGCTGGACGACGCACTGGAAAGCTGAGGAACTACTTGCTTGCCCGCGCCACCCAGCTGTTCATGCAGATCGCCTTAGGATTTGAAGTGTCACAGAGTCAGGCTCGGCCACCGGGGTGGAAGGGGTGGTGTTTTCTCCACGGCCATTGCATCAAATGAACAAGATGCACCCAATGCGATTTTCTATACTTTGAAATTTGGTTGATACTATTCCCAGTTTATCTTGAGTCGGAGTTCTCCGTTTGCTACTGGCACAGTGTTTTTGTTAATCATCGCAACGATTGTTGCCGAAACTTGCCTTTTGTTGGTGGTGGATATGCCCTCCAGTGCTTGATTTGCATCCACACATGTTCTGATCCTGGCTGTTTCATTTCTATCATGAACCTGTATTTGTTTCATGGTTCACTCTACTTATCTTAAATGCTTGTTCATCACCCTCCTATCCAGATAAATAAACATATCCCAATGTCATCCCATGACTGCTTGAGCATATCCTCTTGTCGGTCAATCTGAATTCTTCAATGGGTCGAAATCGAAACCACAAGCAATTTTATTGGTTGATTTACATATACTATAGTTAGATAAGTTTGTCAACAAATCAGGTGGCCACATCGTCACCTGTCAGGTGGACCTCACGGTATTGACCGAGAGCGTTGGTCAAGACTTGCGGAAGCTGATCGAAGGCACAGCAAGGGCAAGGTGAATTTTGACAGGGGAGGTGAGCTGCAGGAATAAGCAAGGGTTGATAAATGTCCTCTTTGTATCTGTTTGTGGGATTTAGCAATTTAGCACATCACTTGAAAAAAGTATTTGTCGGAGATCAATCAAAGCGTTCTTGTTGGGTGCTGTGAAAAAATTGGACATTTACTAACCAATGGACCAATGATAAGGGGCGACATTGGCCTAATTTTGGCTGGTTAACGAGAAGAAAACCGGAGATTTAAACATTTCAACTGGTTTTTCTGGTCGATGACAAAATGTGGCAAGAAAACTGGGTTCCAAATCTGGTCAATTGATACCAATGTTTTGAGCCATAGCCAGTACGCTAGGTTACAGTTCATCCTCGTTTCTGTTGACATTCGCATTGTTGATTGGTTGCGTGCTCCTTTTCTGGTTTGTCGCAAGTTGCATCCAAACATAAGGTTTTGCGATTGAAAGTGGGTCTCTGGAATTTGATTTCTTTAGGTGGATCCATATGTATGCAGATTGTCTGGCAAGAAGCCATTATATTTGAACATAGTTGAATATTAACTATACTTCATTTTTTCTTAATTAAGTTGCAGATGAGTTACTTTTTGGCATCTAATTCCAGGACCAAGGGAATCGGACAAAGATATACATATATATATATTTGATAGCACATCGTTACGCTCATACCATAGCATACAGTTCTATAAATTTGACGACTCCGAAGATGCATATATACACAAGGTCTTGATTTATTTGATTTTTCTTTGGTTTCGCACGTACTGAAACTGATATGTGGTGTTTTAATTCATGGTGTGCAGCATTCTTTCCAACACCAAACCAAAGGAATTGGAAGGAATCATGAAACCCAGTGCCAAACACAACATCAGATTCAGAGGCGCGATATCAATGACTAATGAAATTTTGACCGCTTATCTATTTGGATCCAACCAGCAGGGAATCCAACCAATGGCAACCATCAGGATCCATTTAAGATACAAAAACAGGGATAGGTGGCGTTGATCAAATCTGAGGATCTCCCATGGGTTGACTAGATGATTTTCCCCAAACATTTTGCATTGTGCTGAACGCGCAGAAGTATGAAGACGTAATTTTCTAACCTTCTAACGGGTTAACCCTAAATTAAAACACATTAAAACTGATGTCATCAGTTTGCACATTTTGTGGGTGGGCCTGTGCCGCTT